TCCTGAAGAGCCCATGCGACCTACTTGTGCATTCATATCACACGCAAGAACTAAGATATCTGAACTAGTAGCACTGCGTACTAGCGCGTTCAGTTCGTGATAGAATGTGTCCTTGACAGCAACAAAACTGCAGTCGGTGGGAGCATAAGCGTAACTCAAACAAGCAGCGTTTTGCACTTTTTCGTGAACCAACCTTAATTGGTGTCATCAAACGAGTTACACATAAACAGCTGTTCACCGGAATCCAATCAACCAACGATGACTCAGTCTTGGAGCTGAGAACGATGCCCACCTCAGCTTGACCAGTGATTGCCGCATCAGCGTCTCCGGATGCGTGCAACCAATAGCGAGAGGACAAGCCGGGTGCAGTTAGTTTAACAACCCATTAGGGTCACTGATCCTAGTTTCGGATACGCAACACACGTGAATAAACAGTGTGTCTAACGTGGGTGCGAGTGAAGCCTGTTGACCTACTTGTCTTAGAGTGAGAACGATGAACGCTGCCAGGGAAACGGGACAGTGTGGCTTTATAAGGGACTGTTGCTGATAGGCGTCCAGTGGGTTGTAAGGGGATGTTAGCTACAGATGGTGCGACTTCAGTGACATTGCGGTTGCTGTCCATTAATCTGGCTAGTAATGGGGGTTGGGAAGGGAGTAAAAGAAATAGGTAAATAAATAAATTTAAATTAGCGGCTACGCGAGGCATGCCATCAAAGGGATGATCATAGTAATAGTACAACAATTGATCGAGAAATGCGCAATAGTACAATTTGATTTTCATATATGTGGATATATAAATGTAGGTATGCTGGTAGGTATGTTGCTTGGGTTTGTAAATATGTTGCTGTTCTTTTGAAAGAGTTCGATCGCGTCGCCAGTGTCTAATGCTTGACGTCTGTGGATTTGAAAAGATTGTCCGAGTAAGCAAGGGCAGTGACTTTATTTAGTGGCGAGTCACATCCGCCACGTCAGTGTTGTTAAGCAAAGATTTGCTGATTTTTATAGGGAGAATGCTTACCAGGCAAAAACCCACCACATCTTGGAACACTGCCTCCGAAGTATTTGCTGGAACGGGTTAAACCCGAACCACCTAGCTGGCACCACGGAGAGGTTGTTCGGTTAGTCAGTATTTGCATGTTTTCGTCCATCCACCCTGCTGTATGCAGCAGATAAGGCGACCCTTGATAATCTGCGCGACAGCCGATGCAGGGTGTGGTTAGAATTAGAAGAATTAGTCATAGTCGTACGTGGGCTAGGATACTGTCAGGACGCCCAGACCTAGACAGGATGACGATTAGGGTCCTTAACCAAAAACCTGACCGCAAGGTAGCGGAGAGCTGACAATGGTTCAGCATTACAGAAATGGTGCCATCTTATTTTTAACCCCCAACCTGGAGGACCAAGGGACAGAGTTGGCCTGACCTCTAACCATTAACCAACTTGGCAGGAGTAGTTCTCAAGCCGCCCGGGGGAACTGGAACTACGCAGTAGAGTTCAATGAGTCGAAGAAGTACGCAACCCTGCGCACCACGTTAAGGTCTAGTCTTGTTACGACGTTAAGCTTACGTCTATGAGACTGGAGAGGTGCATTCACCTGTCCAACCTTGCGCAACACCTAGTGGTATTTTTCGGTCTGGAGGAAACAAAGTTCACTCACATCCATTGACTTTACGCCCACTTTATCTGGTTGTGTGTCATAGTGTCCGCTATGAAATCGGAACAAAGTTCTAATAAGCCTGCTTTTGGTGAGCGTTCAGTTGCCCAGAGTTATGCACAGAATTTTGTTATAAATAATTAAATGGTATATTGATCGACGGCGCAAGACAGACCAACTAAGTGGCCTGAGCAATAAGTGTCACATAATCAGATTGTAGATAAAGACTTGAGTTCCATAAAGTGATTCCCAAAAATGTGTTGCGGTGTTCAGTTAATCGAAAGTAAGAAAAATACGGAACGGTACAGTCAGAAGGTAAGTACTACGACCATCCGTGGAACCGTCTCCTGGGGATCAGCTTTCATGAGGGGTAGAGTCCGCATTTCCATGCGTCATCTCGCCGATTGCTGATGTGGCTTAAAAGGAAGTAAGCCCCGTCATCATGTTGACTCGTTTTATTGCGGTCGCTGTTATTAACAAGGTAGGCCATCATTGTACCGATGTTGCTGAAGAGTAAAAAAGTCAACACTACAATAACTAAGATTTGGGGCTGCTGTTTATAGGTACAGAAACAGTCCTTCCAGCTATTCAGCAAGTTCCAACATCCGATTCATTGGACACAGGCCCCTTTGCTCTCTCGCCATTTTCTTTTCTAATGTATTGCGGCAAAATAGCTGGGGTGTTTTCCACCTCTAGCTAACGTGTATAATGAATGATGAATGAATGGTGAGTTGCGGCTTCCAGGAATGAATAGACAACTAGTAGTGTAGAACGAATCGAAGGGAATAGGACGGAAAAACTGAAACAAATTTTTGCTTTAGTAAGCCTACATATAACGTTAGGCGGAAAATTCGCGTTATTAGGCAAAATAACTTAATTCCGCTGCTAACCGCGGGGGAATCAATCGGTCGCAAACCACTGGGAAGCTAATTTAGGACATGGCCATACGCCATAACAGGCAGTGAGCCAATTGGGATAGCCAATCGACCGGAGTTGTGATGAATCGAGTAATTTCTAATGCATCTGTCAATGCGGTATCTACAGCCTTTTCAGCGGCGCAGTTTTCTTAACCCCTTGAGGCACGTAAGAGAAGTGCACATCAGGTGGTGACAAAACGGTCGTTACAAAAGGATGGTTTGAAGCATGCAGACAATATAACTGACCGTTTCCGATGTCTTACGACCTTTGGGGCTTGTTTGAAATCATTTCCCCATCATTCTGTGGGTAAATAAAATACGGGCGGGCATTTTAATGTGTGGGACATATTTGTCCCGTATGCCTTAAAGGGTTAACGGCTGCAGGTGATCTTACTTGACACTTAATTCAATCACCACGCATAAGCTGTTTCAGTAAGCCCGGATGGCGAGCGAGTTTCCAGGTTTGTACATTACAGTATAGTCATAGAATTCTCCGAATCACGCGGTCAGTTCCAACATGTTTTATCAAAAGCCGTTCTTTTAAACAGTGAGCACAAGGCGTACAAAACAGGAAAACGCCCAAAATAAATCGATAGGTTCCCTAATAATAATCCAGATATTTATTAACAAATTGTTAGAAAAGCAGCACCGAGATGTTTTCTCATAGTTTATTGAACGTCTCTAGGTCGCAGTACGATTGGTTAAGCTGCAAATCCTGAGGTCGACGTAAAGTAGAAGTTCCGCCTTTAGGTATTTGGTCCAAATAAATCTAGTACCATCGAATACGAACGGTTTGTTGTGGTCAAAAAAATGAGGGTGTTAAATTCATTTGCCCGATTGTGTCAGGAATCCATCAAAGCGCACCGGATGGGCGAATACACCTTAACCAGTCATCGACAAGCGTGGAAGGCACCGTTGGTTTGCGTTCCCGACAGGCTGTAGTTGGCGAGATCCATGAAATACCATACGAACAGCTGCGTTGTAACAATCGTGTTCCAAATTGCGGTCTACGTGCATATGTGAAGATACCGAATGGGAATCAACCTCCATACGCTCCCGAAGAGTGGGTTGTGTGGTCTCTAGTTCGTTTGAAACGATCGGAAACCTCCAATCCCCGAGAGATAGATGGCAGAAACTGGGAGAATTAGCTTCCCATTACCCACCCCTTTATTGCAATCAGATGGCCAGCACAGAGCTAACCGAAGGGAAACAGTCAGAGTCCGTTTTGTTTGAACTGATTGCACAAGCATTTGATACCCCAGCGTAAAATGCGTGTAACAGCATTTTATGGTAGTCATATTGTATTCGTAAGCAGCCAGGTGGAGACGCGGCCAGTTGCCAAGAAGACAAGGCAAACATATAGCCATCAAGTGGATGTTGTCGAGGTGATTGGAAGACATTACAGTTGACGCCGGAACGATATGAGTTTGACGTGCCAAAGCCTTCAGTTCATCTGACGCGAAGCCTAAAAGTCGAAGGAAGCTCCGTACAAGTTCGCGGTTTCATTGTCACCATGCGCAAAAAATGCATGCAAGGTTACGATGAGTCTATAGTCAAAATAACTGGTCGAACCGCTCTATTATGTCATAGCCCAGATGTAACTGTTAAAACCGAATTCGGGAATAATGTCTATGGCACCCGAAACTACAGCTAATGCGCGGATTGTATATCCCCAAGATGTTTGTGTAGTGATGCTACCCGGGGGATAAAACAGCGTAAAACGAAGCAGCCAGAGACAAAGCTGTTCTCACACCGCCACAATGCCGATGGACAACACGTCGTGATAACTTCCATCACCGATGGGATGCATTGTGGAAAACGACATCGGACGTATCCGACGGTGCCTTCTTCGAGAGCAAGTGGTCAGTGAATACGTCAAGTTTGAAAGTGATGTAGTGGAAAGAGACGACAATGGGAAGAGAAACGTTACTATTAACAAGGTTTGATCGACGGGGTTCATTGAGCAGACAGAAGATGTAACAGATGATCGTGTAGCTGGCGATTTTGGGGTCTAGTCTACATAACTAGCGCAAACAACGCCAAACAGGAGTGAGAGAGGATAGAGAGGGCAAATTTGTTTAAGAGTTCAGGCAAGAACGGTGAAAGCTGTGCTGCGAGAGCATTTTAACCCAGAGGAATATTTATAGTTCAGTTAAACAACTACGATCCGGGCACACAAATGACCCAGTTGGATTTATTTGTCACGATTGGCGTCAGCGGGATAGAAACGGTGAGGAAAATGAAGTACAACGCAAACAGTATCCAAGAAAAAAGGTGAGCAAAATTAATCGGATAGGCGTAACACATGAAATTAGTTTGACTTTCATGCGAAAAACTCATCCGTATCCGCAAAATGGAGCTCACTTCAATTTACTGACAGAACACTGTTGAATTGGGGTGTAAAACACAATTTATCAGCCGTGACTTACTTTCAAACTAGTTCGACGATACTTGTGCACAAATTCATCCCCTGCGGCGATCAATGTGCGTATAGCTGTAGGGGCGGTGTAGAACTTTGTGACCTGATATCGGTCCACAATAGCCCAACAGCGGCCGCAATCGGGCCAAGTTGGGATGCCCTCGAAAATCACGCTGGTGGCCCCATTTAGCATCGGACCGTAGACGACATAAGAATGCCCTGGGGGATGAAGAAGCAGTAACGGATAGGTAAATGAATACTGTGAAAAAGGGGGGAACAGGGTATGAATGGTCACGGAACGTTTAGAACATCCATTGAAAAACCGAGTGATATGGAATCTACTGAGACAACAAGACGCATTCGAAATGCATACCGTCTAAATCAGGCTATTCACGAAGAGAAAGCCAATAATCATGGGGAAGAAACGAGTCACCCAATGTAGACACAAAATTGTAAGCAGTGAAAAAACGCATGACGCGCGACGTAGTGGCGATGGATGCGTCCGATGGTTACCAAAGGGAGAGGAAAATAGTTGGCAATTACCAGTTTGTCTCGACCTTAAGTCGTTTACGATGAATACAATTGAGCTAAGTAAGCTGGAGGAGGACAAGAGTCGGTACCAGTAGTAACAAATGATATGTGTATAAAGCTGCTGTTAATGGAAGTCGTGGTCTCATAGAGGCCAGTGACTGTCCTTTGCAAGGGTAGTAACCTACATGGTAGTGAAGGATTGGTGGAGCTATATCTCAGGTTGGTAATTAGGACGGTCTGCCGTCGTCCCCCATTGCTCAGTGGCATAAGCTACTGACTAGTAGCTCAAGCTAGCAATCATGGGTTCGGTTCTAGATGCAGCCGGTAAATACGCACAACTGACGAGCCACAATATGACGAAACGACTGTCTGTGCTTTTCCAGGTTGGCGGTAAGACTATCCGTTCGTTGTTTGCGCGCCGGAGTTGTGGATGGAAGAAGAGGAGAGGAGGCCAAGCGATGACTTGGTCAAGAGAAGTGAAGGCCCTTGGTTCGGAGTTGGCAAAGGTTGGGGCCTCTCTGCCACCTGGTTGGGGCCCGAAAGAAGACGAACACGTTTGGCTGGATGCACTTGTTGACATGAATAGACCGGTTTCAGTGGCATTTGTGTTATAAGTTTCTTTGTCTCCGCTTCTCTAGTTTAGCCCCCCCCCGATCTCATTTCTGACACGTAATATAAGTTTTAAACGGAAAACGGTTGGCTGCTAGCTCCCCGGAATGACGTCCATCCGTTAACGGTGGCTCAGCTCCTGTGCCTCTGTTGTTGTTTTTACCATTTATTGCGGCACAATAGCTGAGGTGTTTCTCACCTCTAGCTAATGATGAATGATGATAAGACTATTTTGCTTGTAAGCCGCTGGGCTAAACTCAAAGAAGTTCCTTAAAATCCTCCCTATTCGTCAGTAAAAGTTATCACTCTATAGCAAAACATTAGGAGGAACCCAGTGAGGGCGCCGTAATGGATGGTACCAGAGCTACATAAATAAGAACATTAATTACCGTGACAATGCAGAGAAATGTGGGAGCGCCTAACATAATCAAGATGGATTTGAAATACCTCGACAGAAGAAAGTAAACCCAAGAATCACGAAGAATAAAGAGGATGGTTTAGGGTGGATTCATCACACGGTTGGGAACTAGTGCTTCCAAACAAATCCGTTACTGGGAGTGGGGATAGCCACGGTAGGTGTGGGTGGCCGGCGCCGAATCGTCTTTGCATTTCCGACAGCCAGTGAAAATTCGCGAAGCATGCTTGTGTGAGCCACGGAAACTACAACCGAGGTAACAAGGCGCGGGAAACCGGAAAAGACCTAAAGAACCATACTATCAAACAGATCAAAGCAAGGCGAAGAGAAGGGCGGGAAAGGGTGACCCGTTGAAATCGTCAGATAGGCCGAAGAGTTAAAGAATCGGATAAACGACTGTTACGGATCTTAGCACTGTACTAGGTTAAATAGAATCTGTACGCACTAAGGTGAATAACCTGAGAGAGGTGCCCACAATGTGTATTACCCGTGGGTGGATGAGTTGGTGTAACAGCAATGCCCAACGAGTGTAGATGCGTGCGGTATTTATCCGGAGAAGAATGAGCGTTGAAGTGCCACTCATTCAAGCTAAAGTATGAGAGATAGGCACACGCTATACGCATGAGGCGTGGTGCCGGATGCGGTGCACAGCTGCGTTGAACGCATACCAATCATCATCAGCAATGGACAGTATGCATTCCAACGGCAACGGCAATTGAGGTGCGAGTGTGAAACGAGTGAATGCCTTGACAATACTCGCTCGAGTCTAGCGTAGCAGGTCGCAGGCAGCATGCGCTAATCTTTCATAAATGAGTCAATCGTCGCGATGAGGTACGATGAGTCACACCAGCTATAGTAAACGAGTAGAGGTTTTGTATAATCCGCTGTCTGGAAGTAAGCAACAAGGAACATGACAACAACATTAAAAAAGACAAACAACTGGGCGAAAGTACAATCTGAATCACTCGGTTAACTAGTGAAGTGGGACTCCAAAGAGAGAAAACCGCAGCTCACTAATCGAGATACCAAAGTTATCAGGAAAATGTAGCCGAAAATTTGTACAAAACATACGTAACTTTTCATACCTGTGGATGCAAAACCAGCGAGGAGGGGAAACAAAAGGGAACTAGTGATACGTGACAGCCAGATTGTCGACAGCAAGTGATCGACGACTGGAAGTGGTCAAGATGCGAGCTAACCGGCACGGTAGACTCAGAGTGGACAATCAAGTAGCAAAACATGCGTCGACTGAGCTCTAGAGGTGGACACTTGAGGTGTGCGCAAAACCGAATTCAAAATTGATAGATACTACGAGAAGTTTCAGACACGAGTGTCTGAAAGGGCGCTAGCGCGTATGTATGAGGCCATACAGAGTGCGCATGGACAATGCTACTCAGAATTTGTTTAACAACAAACTCATTCACAACAAAAACAAATATGGCACCACATCCCTGTCCTTGAACAATAGGTTAGAACAAAACTTTTAGTGATCGGTGGCGTGAACCAGGAAGGCTGAAGTACGACTAAGAGGGACACTATACTTCGTTGTTAGTATTATCAGAGCGATCAATAAGAGACAGATCCGATAACATTCCAACTTAGTCGCGACACGTTTCGTCGAAATGAGGTGGAGACGGAACGCAGAGTGCTGTGGAAACACAGGGCATGAGACTCCGCACTCAAGATTAAATTGTATCAGAGGACAGTAGCCACTTCGTTGCCTCAAGCTGAAAATTCCATGAAGATGAGAAGGTATAGGCGTAAATTCAGGTACACCACGTGTGAACATATGGAAGGCAAAGGCCCGAAGGGGGCGAGGACGGAGGCAGGTGGCGTAGGCACAACAGTAGCCGGAAGCTTACTTGTAGTAAGCAGGAGTATGCGATGTACATTCAATGTGAACATTTAGGACGCTACCAATTGCACTTCACATGCCGATTGTTTTGATTCATTCATTCATGAAACCAAGCCGGCCACAAAGGCTCGTTTACATATGCCGAGTTCCGAAGTGAAGCGCTCCAAGTGTGAGTGAGTCGCAACAAATGCTCCTGTTAGTTGGGCCATGTGCAATTTTCGGCCGCTTTAATGGCTAAGAATACGGTTAAACGAAGTGAAGTCAGTTCGGTTCAAATAGTGCACGGCCAAAACCGAGTTCGTTCTTTTATGGAGTATCGATAACAGGCAGCACAAAATGAAAACGCGGGAGAGCGCAACTGGTGTCTCTCATCAGCCGAAAGAACGAGTCGGCTGCGTACAGTGCAGTTGCAGAAATGTGATGGCTGTTTGACTGAATCTAGATGCGACAAATTCAACGCATGTCTCTTTGCAAAACCGGAAATCAATCAACCGAGTCTCGATAATAATACTCAAATGGTGAGTGATAACGATTGATTATGCAGATTTAACCGCTGAGTTGTGCCATATCATTCCGATAACCATGAACAGTATTGGGAAGTGCGATAGTGACAGCTTTCACTTGTGCAGTGAAGTCGTAGTGGTTAGAAGTGAAGGAGGTAGGATAGCCGACATTCACATTGCAACCAACCGGGAGCAAGATACATGCACTCTGTAAGCGGACTGGCAAAGAAGTAGACGGCAGCGGTTAGAAGAGAAGGTGGATGTAGAGCGATTGGGGTTTGTGGTCATCAGTGCCATCCGATCAACTCAAGAGACACCAGGCAAATAAGCGAGTCAAAGCGAATCAATGAAAACGCAAGGCAAAGTCAGCTGTCTGCAACAACTGCACAAGGGACAGTGTGAATAACACTCAAGAAGCCGCGGCAATATAAGATTATTTTTACCTGTTGGCTAGAAGCTCTATTCCTCGTTACAAGCCACTAGAAGTAATTTTGTTCTGTATCAAGACAACAGCAATCCATGCAGCGAAATGCAGTGAATCCAGACGTCTCGACTCAAGTAAAAAAGGCGTCATCTGTACGCTGGCACGTCCGCACCGACGACTTTTCGCCGCTATACGACTGCCACGAGCACTGTGAGTGGGCTAGGTACGAGGGCTGTACAAAATGTGTCCGAATTTTATCTGTTCTGCGAAAAATAATGAGGATCGGGAGACATGCTTTGATGCACGTAAGCAGACGACCTTCATGTGCATGCGCGTATCTTTTTCCAGTCGCATGGAGGAGTCATTTCTAGTCAGACTGCAGCTGAGTGCGCGTAGTCGGAGTTTTGTTTTGAAAAATATAACAGAAGAAATGAAACATTACTGCCTTGTGATTTTCGGGTGTTAAAGCACCCGCCCTGTGTCTTGGAGTGTGACACGCAATCGTGTGTGATCATGGCGATAGCTGCCAAACACTATGTGCCGGGTTCCACTCCCAGCTCGGCTCTCTACCTGATGAGTATAAACCAACACAAAACCGTCGGTCGTGGAGTGCAGGGAGCGGAGAGAGCCACACAGAAACGTTTCTGCAATCATCATCATCATCATCATCATTATACATGTCAGCTAGAGATGGTAAAACACCTCCGCTATTGTACCGCAATACGTAAAGGAAATACATACATACATACAATACATAAAGGAAAAATAAATACGACAGTTGAATGCCAGCTGAGCTACCAGCAACGGATAGGCATCGTTCCGGTAAGCTACTAGCCGGTTACCAGGCAAAAACAAAAAGTTAATTACGTTTTACCCTATGAGATAAGATCGTAGATGGAGGAGGAGGCTAAAGGGATGGGGAGGGACAGAGAAACTCACAGCAGGAACGCCACTGAGGTCGGCTCCTTGCCATATCAGCAAGTGTATCCAGCCAAACGTGTTCACCGTCTTTTGGACCCCAACCAGGGAGCCGTGAAGCTCCAACTGAGGCCAGCTCCGGAGTGAGGGCCTTCATTCCTCTGGACCAAGTCATCGCTTGGCCACCTCTCCTCTTCTTCCACCCACACCCCCGGTGAGCAAACAACGCACGTCGAGGGAGTCGGTGGGCTGGCATGCGCAACACGTGGCCCAGCCATCGGAGCCTGGTGAGTGAAATGACGGTGCTGAGCGGTTCATTCCCTTTTCCTAGGCCGTAAACAAGGCGTCGAACACGATCGTTACTCATGCGGTGTTCCCACCAGATGTGAGCCAAACTGCGAAGGCACCGATGGTCGAACGTAAGTAGCCTCTTCACGTCCGCCGATCTTAGGGGCCAGGTTTCGCAACCGTACAGTAAGGTCGAACGTACTGCTGCATTGTACACTCTACCCTTCAGGGCGAGAGTAATGTCGCAATGTGTGTGTGTGTGTGAAGCTCGGCAATCCCTAAGTGGAAACTATCCGAATGATTAACGAGGCTTTTGGTGACGTAGCAATGAGTAGCATATGTATGGGGAAATAGCAGAATCGTTTCTAAGAAGGCCGTACATAAGTGGAGAGTGAAGCACAGTCTGATACACCACCGAAAAGCAGAAATGAGTTTGTCAGTGACCAGATGAAGTGGTGAGCATTAGTACTGGATCCCTTCTGCATCGCTTTTCAGACGTTGAGACGTAAGCGCCATGATCTATGGGTAACGGTCAATTGGCAGCTCCATGATGATAACGCATCAGAACATTTATCCTAGTTGAGAGTTTCTTGACCAAACGCTCCGTAATTGATCGACATGGTTCCATATGACTTCTGGCTGCTCCCAAAACTGGAAATGTCCGTTAAAAGGGATCGAAGTTCAGTCCCGAGAAGACATCATGTCAAATATGACCAAACAGCTATATGCCATCTCGAAAATGGCGCACTATTGCTGTTTGCTACAGTAGCAAAAGGGTTGGGGGAAATGTGTGACGGCCCAAAGAGACTACTTTGAAGGAGATAAAGGTAAGGAGTTTGGTGTCTGAATAACTTTAGTTTGTATAAGGAATAGACTGATACTTTTTGAACAGTCCTCCTATACTGCGGAGTTGCTCGCACCTAGTCAAGCTGGAACTAATGATCAGTGGAGTACAAGGCAGAAGCCTGAATGATTCGATCACCGACCCAGGAAAATACGGAGGGAAAAGGGAAATACGACAAGTCAATGCAAATGGAAAAGCGTGAGGCGTCGGATGGAGTAAAAAAGAGAAGTGAAAGATTTCGCGATTGTGTACCGTACAACAGACATCTAAAGAGGTATGTTTCGGAACCTAAAGCTCTCATCCAGGAGGACGCCATTCACAAACTCAGCTAGGGTCATTTATTGTTTTCTTTATTTCACTTGGCTTCAAGCTATTGGCATTCGGTATGGTTCGTAGACTACTCCAATGCGTGAATCATACTACCGTGTAGAACAAGATGGTTTCCGTTCCGACTGTGGATGTGTGGATCAAATATTTACGCTCCCACAACTCTTCGCACAATGCCATATTTACCACAAGCCCATTACCATCGCAATCTTAGACAAATGGGCTGCATTTCACTCCGATGATCGAAATGCTTTATGGCCTCGCTTGCTGAGGAACGGGGTCCCAGGAAAGCACACGGCCATTCTATACGCACTTTACCTTCATATCTCCGGCAGAGTGAGGATCTACGACAAGCATTCCTCGCTCGTCACCGCCAATAGTGGTGTGCGACAGGACTGCCTTATATCCCTATTCCTCCTCAACTTTGCAATTGTAGACGTTCCGCTGAAACGTCTAGGTTTCCAAAATTTTTGCTCGGAGCTTCTACCGGGTGAGCGCGCGAGCGACTTAGATTATGCCAACGATAAAACCTTACTTGGTGACGATCCGCAGAGGACGTAACTCATTCCAAATCGTTTGGCGGTTGAAGCACCTAGTATAGCATGAACTTGGCAACCGCTCGTAAAGTTCAGCTCCAGGATCGGTCCACATCTGCAACCGTGCTCACCCTTGAAAGTGCGCAATTTGAACACGTGAATAATTTCGTCTACCTTGGGAGCTGTGTTTCTGCTGGTGACACCAATAACAAGGGAGTTTCACTTTGCAATGCTAAAGCCAGATCAGCATCTGTCAGTCTGAAGTACTTGTGTCGTCGTCAGGAAGTCTCCATCTCAGTAAACGGCCGCATCTACAGTACCTTTGGTCGTTCAATGTTGTATGGAAGCCAGTCCTAGCCAATTCGTGTTGAGAAGATGCACTGTCTTTCCGTCTTTGACAGTGCTGGTGTGTGGTTGCAACACCAAGTTCATACTAATGATGTTAGGCGTCGTACCCTAGGGAATGCGAGTATTCCCCTTAAATAAACTGGTTTTGCTGCGCCAATTGAGATCACCTGGTTACGTCCAACGCATGGTGTCTGAGCGTTTACTGCGCCGCACTGTATTCGCTCGCCAAGGACCGGGCTGGAGGCGACGTGAGGTGGTCAGCCTTCGACTTAGCGACAACACATGAAATCCTTGACGTCGTGTTTAGTTGTCGTTGGACCCGTACGTCTTCCTGGATGGGAACCCAAAGATGAGGAGCGTCAGCGGCTTATCGTGCTTGATGTAAAGGATTTAAGGGAAGAATTATATATATATATATATATATATATATATATATATATATATATATATATATATATATATATGTTCATGTTTCGCGGATGTTGCCAGAAGGACACTGGAGATTTTCATCCAAAAGGTGAGGAGTCGGTGGACGTGTTGCCTAATATCTTAGCGTCCTTGAGATGGCATAGATGAGGCTGTTGTTCAGCAAGTTCCAGATATCACTATCAAATTCGTTCACTAGAACACGTAGTCAGGCGTCCAGCAGATGTAAACATTGAGTGTTAGTTTTGTAGGTTCATGCAGCATCCCAACGGAACTCGTGCTTGCCGCTTGATGACTGCTAACTCGAGACTTGGCAAGCAAGGAATTCCATCCCCAGGACAGCAAAGAGTGATACCTGCATACCTTGATGCCCTGAATGCGGGTTGATAAAAATAAAGGATCAATGGCGCTTGTTATCCAGTTCCGCTGGTGTCACAGTTGCGGCGGTAACATAGACTGATTCAGGTCTAGTCCAACCTGTGGATAGTCACAGAAAACTTGGTTTTAACCAGCAGGCGGTCTAAAGAAAGTGTAGTATATCCGAGTGATGCAGGCATCCTGAGGGAGCGTAGGCAAATGCTACATCACACAAGAATTTAAATTACGGTGGCTGGATGAATGAATACGCACAAACATGTAAGCCATCAGAAGTAATAGTAATACATCGGCATTTTATACAAACGCCTAGTTGCAACACACAAAGGCAGACTGACAAACCCGATACCGCTAGTAAGCAAGAACAAAAGTGGTGGACGGGAGATTACTATAGGGCCTAAATTTTCAGATGAAACATGCAGGATCGAAGCGTTTACGGTCAACGGAAGCTTAACGGTAACACCCTGCTGCCTAGTAAGTGAAGGTAAGGCGGCATCCGTGAGATAACTTGCATGGGGCTTTCAACGCATCGCATCGTTAGCAACCATACCTCGCAGATTGTGCGACATCACACGGACCTTAACTAAGAAGTCCGGGCTTGGTGACTATAGCCGGTTGTGGATCATGTCAACAATGGTTTTGGACAGGTGAAGAGTGAGTCGTATGGACCCAGACGGATCAACACCACTAAGGTCTGCGTGTTATCAGCGACTCCATTCTCAGCTGCAGTTAACCATCACCCTTCATCCCTTGCACCATTATGGATTCAGCGAACAAAAGAAAACACTTCTTGGTAAGTGGCCAGTGAAGATGTGGAACTAGTGCGCTTACGACCAAAACTGATCCCGTTCTAATTGTTGATCTAACATGCGCAGTACTCAGCATTCAGCTGAGCGTTTAATTGTTGTTGTGCACGATTTGGTGTCAGCGGACGGAATCCGTGCTGTTGCTGCTGCTCTGTGGTCAACAAGATCAGAGAAACTATGTCACCCGCACAATGCAGATTAACTGGCTTCCTCACCATGCGTACTTCGTGCACCATAAGAAGCTACAAGAAAGACTCCCATAAAGGAATCCCCTTTAAATATGGTATAGAAATGCAAGAACACACCTGTGATCCAACCGGCATCGGCGGTGCACCAGTACACATCATCTGGGTGGTAGTCGAAGGTGTAGTAGAACGTGGTGGCAGCGTAGACCATATAACCACCGACGGTGTGGACGACGCCTTTTGGCTTGCCCGTACTTCCACTGGTGTACAGGATGAAGGACGGATCCTCTGCGTTCAACCACTCCACGGGGCAGCCTACTTTATCCGGAAAACTGTCCAATAAATCATGCCACCAAATATCGCGACCCTGCTGTAATCTCGCACAAGAGCTGAGAGTAGAAAAGAGAAAAGCGTGAGATGAAAAGCCTGACTTGGCTTAGTGCAAAGAGTGTGCAATTAGCGTATGCTCTACACTTCACTAAGAACAGTCGTGATCGCCACTTTGGTGAATATCAATGTCTATAGAATCAACGCAAAACAATCTTCGCGAAACGCGCTACTATATAGAAAAGCTACTGAATGCAAAAGCCTTGATAGTAATAGCAGGAAAAGGGGAACCAGGCTTGGGTAAATTTAAGAGCGAGACAAGAGCATAACTGCTGCGACTGCTGAGATAGCAATGATAAGATAATTGGCGATCGATCACCTCCGATTGGGGGATCAGGTGCGCAAACACGCGTATCGCAGGAAGAAACCAACTAGGATTAGTGAAGCGATATAAAGATATGGATCACCAAGTTAAAACCAGCGTGGAGCTATGGAGCCTAGTCCAAATGAGTTGAAAAACGATGTAACCACCAGCATGGTTTGTTGAATGACGTAATGCAAGTAATCGGTAGAGTGAACAGTTGTCACCCGCGAGATTGACAGTCCATTAAATAGCGCAGATGGCTGCAAATACAGGAAGGACTGAGAAGTAAGCGTAAGGCAACCGAACGTACAAGAGGAGAAACAAGCAATTCCACGGACCCGAAAAATGGATTGTTAGAGGAAACATAATCTGAAGACGTGATTGTCAGATGATTATTCGACGAATAATAACCACTATGTAAGAGTTGGGCCGAAAAATCTCAGAGACCAGCTTCTAAAGTTACCAATAGTAATTTAGTAACGAAGGAACAAGACCAACGAAGATAACATGAAACCTATAAATGCCTCAAGTGTACGTTGCTCTCTGCGTTGTTAGTTCGCGGTGGTAAAACCAGTATATCAATTAATCCAATGGAGGGATCATTTTAAAGCACGCGTTGTGTGTGTGAATGAATTGCGACACGCAAGCTCGATCAGGACTGTGATTCAGGTCGGAATGAATTCCAGTCAATTTGATCACCGGGACTGTACTATCCGGGACAGATGAAGGTTACACATGTTGCCCGCCCGAAAACACTACACTCCCCGAAGCGTTTGGAACTTAAGATCTTATAAGGCAGAGATAGCAGGACTGCGATGCGAACTCGGTACCTTTAAGATGTTAGCCGAAGCCTCTACCCCTTTAGGAACCGGGTCAAGACGAGTATCACTTGTCAACACGACTAATGACTGATTGGAGGTTGTTGTGGTGAACCCGTTGTGCGAATAGATTGCGACGCTCAACCTCAATTTGGACCGCGATTCGCATTGAAGTGATTTTTGGCCAATTCCAGCACGGGGACTGTAACATGAACCGGGTGAATATGGGTGTTGCCCGCTCGGAAACACTGCAGTCCACGACTGGGTTCGAATTTGCTTGACCTCATCAGGTGGAGACAGCAGGTACCCGAACACGGAACTTTTGAGATGTAGGTCAAAAATTCCCCCGGTAGCTTGTTGTTTACAAAAACGGTTCTTTGGGATCGGTAGAAGGGAGTGACTTGGGGGCTATAACTAAGGCGACGAACGCTAACCAGGTCCTGGAAGAGAAACTCCATGGAATCGCGCGTGTGCGTAGTCTGCAAGGTAACAGGCAAATAACCACTTCAAATATCGGGATTGGAAGACGCAATCTAACCGTTGTACATGGAGGTTGTTTAGATTAACAAACCAGGAAAAACGAATTCCGCGGGGAGCTAAAAGAAAATGAAGCGCAAATGCGGCTGTCTGGCGACGGTTCGTGGGAGTTCAGCCGTTGGTAAATGCATTTCGTTGCTCTACATTAGTATTTAAAATGTTGCGGAATGCTGGTAGCTCGGGTTGAGGATTCAATGTTTAATTTGTTCTCCGAGCTCGGCGATTTTGTTGCAAACGTTTCACCACCATGCGAGATGGCATCCTCAGTGCAGTGAGATGCGGCGTGCACTGGGTTAGCCAAGAATGAAGGTTACAACATGAATGCTAATTTTATAGATCACCGGTAGAGGGCACTATGAAAACGAATAGAGTTGAAACGGCTAGAGAGCAAATGGCCAAAATACTGCATAGTGAGTGCCGACACGAGGGATCCATCAACGCCTCAGGTGGCTCCACATTTAAAACGACATTTTGTTCCCAGCGCATGCGATGGTGTAACTTTGCAAAGTGTGAACCCCAGGGAAATAATAGATGGGCTTCGCAGAGCGGATAAGGACTCAGACTGAAAGATGTTCGGATAGCTCCGCTGTCTACGCCTGGTCAACCTCACAGTATCCTGTTCACGCAATACAACATGACTTCCATTTCAAATGATCTCTTGATGCGCTGGCCGCTGCAAAGTATAATCAACGGTGCCCTATCTGATGCATCCAGCAGGGAGGATAGGGGTACGGATGCTACCGCTCAAGCCTTCCCGTCTTCTTATTCCCCTCTTGCGCCTTTTCATCCGTATCGTTCCGTTCCCACTTCACTTTTACCCCCTTGTTTTCAATTCCCCAATTCTTGGTCCTCTCCCATCTTTGTTCAGTAGTAGTTCGTCTTCCAATTTCGACTCACGCAGTCGTAGAACGTCGCTCCGGTCCAGTGGGTAAGTTCATGTGTAGCCAAACGGACAACTTCAGTGCATCTGCTTCTATTCGGAGCCCTCGGTCCTCCTTAAGACTGGCATGCCTCAATGTACGCAATTTGTTACAAACGGGCTAACAAGCAGCACTTGCTCGGACACTGGAGACCCTATCAATTGATGTCTGCTGCTGGTCAGAAGCTCGCCTTCAAGATTCGAATTCTGTGATTAACCTCCGATCCCCAACGTGCGACAGTAGCAGTATTTTCTTATTGCGTTTGTTCAGAGATTAAGCGGCTGCAAATGTCGGACAAGCAGGTGTGGGTATTGCGCTTAGCCCTAGTGTCGAAGCTGCCTTGATCGACTGGATCCTAATGAATAGCCGGATGTGCACTGTTAGACTGCCTGGTTCGTTCAAAGCATCGAAGTTGCGTGGGGACAAATGGTGCTTGTTTGCAATTGCGGCTTATTCGCCCACGAACTGTAGCGCTGACTTGATGAAAGATGACTTCTATCACCACTTAAACGAACTCTTAAGCCACAGAAAAAGTACGGATATTGTTGCAAGTGATTTGAACGCCCAAGTCGGAAAACTGTCCACTGAGGAGCTTCACCTGGGTGGTCAACACGATGTAGGCTTCCGCAATGATAACGGTGAGCGGTTGCTAAACTTGTGTGAAGATGTTCGTCTGTGAGCATTAATTTCAGACGTAACATCCGCCGGAGGGTGACATGGAGCCCACCAGCCTCGGACCAGCCATGGACGCGAATCGATCACATTGCGATCAGTTACCATTGGAGAGGGTGCGTTCAAAACTGTCGCTCGATTTGGAGCACGTGCGTGGACGCTGACCACGCACTTGTTTGTGCCGACCTCCGGGGGAGTTGCGGCGGACGTCCGCAACGGCGCTGGAACTGCATGGGTATTTGCCAGCTGGTGAAGCCAGATGAAGTATGCTGGCACCTGAGTTGAGTAAACGCCCACTGAAGACAGTTGAAGATCACTGGTCGCATATTCGCCAGACGTTATTAGCAGCAGGCATATGTTTATGTGGTAAATCAAATTGCCAAATTGGATATTAGGTGTTTACACAGTTTCTGGAACTTATGGATGCTCGTCCAAGTGTTCCGGATGGAAGCGAATACAATGAGATTCGCAAGGCTCTCATGGCGAAACTATGTACTAGCCTGGAAGAAGACCGCGAGGCTTGGTAGTTTCATCGTGCCTCGAAGATGGAAATAGCCGCTGCCCTCGGAAGTTATTCCGTTTAATATGAGAAAAGGGCAGCAGGAAACCTGGTGTTAGTGAGACCATATGCAACGAGAGTGGACAGCCGATCCACAGCTTGTCAAAGCGCTTGGAGCATTTTGAGAAGCAGTTTAATCAGTTAGAGTTACCAGTTTCTCCATTGGCCAATGAGCGCCCTACTCCCTGGGTCGTTCCTTTGGATGCGCCCTCGCGCGAAGAAATCGAACGTGAGATCAGGTGGCTGAAATCGAACAAGGCCTCTGAAGCAGATGGGCTTCATCCAGTCCTCTACAAATTTGATGGACCTGCTCTTTTGGACGATTTACATAAATTGCTAGTGAATCTATGGGAGCAGGAGACTGTCTCGACAGACGGGAGGCGCTCCGTAATAGTTCCAATTTTCAAGAGAGGCTCCAGTTCAGAATGTGGCACATAGAGGAATCAGTCTGATCTCCACTGCCAGCGTCTGCCGTCCTCCATACACTGGCACTCGTGAAAGCCAGATGCGCCAGGAGCAAGCCGGATTTCGTCAAAATGGAGGCTGCATAAACCCCAATTTCACATTACGTCAGTTGCTGGAGCACCGCCATGTTTATCGGCGACCCACTGTAGTCGCGTTCCTAGGCATCAAAGGGGTCTTCGATGCGGTTGCTCGATGTGCCCTTTGAGACTACCTACTCAGGAAAGGTGTGCCCGAGAAATATGTAGACATTATCCGAGCGTTATACGCACGTAGCTCGGACAGCGGTGTGAGACAAGGTTGCCCGCTGTCACCTTTGCTCTTTAACTTCTCAATTGACGAAGCCATAGAAACGGCGTTCGACTGACACGACTTAGGTGTGGATCTGCTCCCAGGTGAGCGACTTCTCGAGTTGGAGTATGCCGACGACATTGCGCTCATCTGTGACAGCCACCAAACGTGCCAAGATGCACTGGACAAATTAGCTCTGACTGTCAGTCGTTTCGGGCTATGCTTTTTACCATCGAAATGCAGTTTTGCTCCAAGATTGGCAGGGACCCACTGCTGCACTGACCCTTAGAAGTGATAATTTAGAAGTCGTCGAGGAATTCAAATATCTGGTCAGTTATATCATCACGAGTGGAACGGAAGATGAGAACACGAAGCGTAGAGCAGAAACTCCATGCGCTTTTGTTAATCTCTACCATCTGTGGCGCCGACGTGATATTAC